TATATATATATATATATATATATATATATATATATATATATATATATATATATATATATGGACATATATGTTTAACAATCATGCAACACATGGAGAATAATCTTTTAATATTGATTTTAGTTACGAATTTAGTTACAAACGGAGTTGTTCGAGAGCATCAGGAGTCTGAAAACCATATTAAAAACCCAGTAAAAAATTCTCTTAAATTTACGGATTGTGATTTAAATTATGTAGAAATCAAAGAGAATTTAACAACACGCAAATCTAAACAATAGAAACTAGAATGAATAATCTATTTCATTAAATAATCAACTCGAGAAACTTCTAGTTTTTATAGAAAAATGACACGTTGATTGCCTACTGCGTCGCTTTATCGAGAGCTTCTGCGTACTACGCGTAAAACTTATATTAGACTAAGAATTTGAGATTGAAGATTGCGGATTAAAGATTAGATTTTGACGAATCAGTATATTTTAGCCTTGGCTTGCTTTGTTCTAATTAGTGAAGTTCCAATCTTCAATCTGCAATTCTCAGTCTTTAATTTAGAATACGATACAGGCATAAGAGTCATAACACTGTAACATTGATGAAACATTCTGTGTTGGACACAGTTATACCGAGTCCTTTGTGTCTCTTGTTGGAAAACACTCAGTTATATTGAGATATCTGTTGTGTTCGCAGGAAAGATTTTTCGCCAGAGGAAGTTGCTTTGTAACTTGTAAAATTCATGAATCTGACACCATTCTCTTGATCATGGCTGTACGTAAGAGTATATACCATCAGATTCACGAATATTATAACAGTTCCCAAGCTGCTTTGCTGTTGTAAAATTCGTAAATCTGATTGGTATATACTGTTAGAATCAACTAAAATTAAAGGCATATAATAATCATACTGACGAATTTTATAACAGTTACAAAGTAACTTTCTCTGTTGTATATAGCCATTGTCGTTTGATGCAAAATTGACTATCTAAGAAGAAGAAGAACTAGAAGAAGAACAATAATCTCAAAATTTGACAACAGCGAAGGAGAGTCTTTTTATTATAATTCAGTATCAACTCGAAAAGTTGTTTTAATTAGCTAAGAAAATAATTTACCTTAATGTTTGCGATTTCCTTATTCCCCTTGTATTTGAATCAACTTAAATTCTGTATGTTAGACCTACTATTTTCAAATATCCAAACAAATATTAATTATATCTTTCGCAATTGTATCCTTACATGTAAACATGAATACGGTTAACATGTGAACGGTTATAAGCGGACTAATCCTAAGTTGCTGTGAAAACATGCAATATGATTAAATATAAAATGAATTATTACCCGAGAATATTTTTGAAGATCTCTCGCTTATCATTAACGTTCGTGGCTAATTGAATAAAGTTACCAAATATAATAGCAATTTCGAGATATTAGGTTTTATTATAGAACTCGGACAGACCATAAGCAAATTTAAAAAGAAGGACAACAATAATTGCAGAACTTGACAAACACAATAAATTGTTATTAAAATCTATTGTCAGCGTATTGTTTGAAAAAGATGTCTACCTAAGGGATAAACGAAATGCGAGTCAGGTAATAGAGAAAAATTTAATACGTTGAACATATATCAACGTAATATGTATGAACATATATCAACAATCATACAACATATGGAGAATAATCACTTAATATTGATTTGTTTAGTTACGAATATGGAGTTGAGCGAGAGCTTTAGGAGTCTCGAAATCATATTAAAACTCAGTAAAAAATTCTTTCATATTTACAGTTTGTGATTTAAATTTTGTAGAAATACAAAAGATTTAATAACACGCAAATCAAAACAATGGAAACTAGGATGAGTAATTTATTTCATAAAATAATCAACTCGAGAAACTTCTAGTTCTTATAGAAAAATGGTATGTTGATTGGCTACTGCGTCGTTTTTTGAGGGCTTCCGCGTACTGCATGTAAAGCTTATATTAGACTAGGAATTGGAGATTGACGATTGCGAATTGAAGATTAGATTTTGACGAATCAGCAAACATCGATTTTGATTTGCTTTGTTCCAATTGGTCAAGTTCCAATCTTCAATCCGCAATCCTCACTGTCTAATCTATATTATGATACAGACATAAGAGTCATAACACAATATCATTGATGAAACATTCTATGTTGGACAAGTCCTCTGTGTCTGTTGTTGGAAAACACTCAATTATATCGAGATATCGGTTGTGTTCAAAGGAAAGATTCCTCGCCAGAGAAAGTTGCTTTGTAACTTACAAAATTCATAAATTTAATACTATGTTTTTGATCATGGCTGAATCTAAGAACATATACCAATCAGATTCACAAATATTATAACAGATGCCAAGCTGCTTTGCTGTTGTCAAATTCGTAAATCTGATCGGCATATACTGTTAGATTCAACTAAGATTAAAGGCATATAATAATCATACTGACGAATTTTATAACAGTTACAAAGTAGCTTTCTCTGCTGTATATAGCCATTGTTGTTTGGTGCAAAATTGACTATCTATGTCTAAGAAGAAGAACTAAAAGAACAATAATTTTAAAATCTGACAAAGAAACAGGAGATTCTTTTTATTATAATTCAGTATCAACGTATTCCTCGAAATATCATGTCCACCAAAACTACAGACGAATCAAAGTGCGAGTCAGGTAATAAAAAAATCATATATTCAAAAGTCATGTACACAACACAAAATAATAGGAATAATCTTTTAATGTTAATTGATTCGTTTAGCATTAGTTCCGAGAACGGGAATGGTTGAAAGCTCCTCCAATTTTGAAAATACGATAAAACCTAGCGAAGAATTTGTCGAATTTTTCAAATTAACATACACATTTTCTAAAGATCCAAGTAAATTTAGCAAAAAACAAATCAAGACAATCGAAATAAAAATGGACAAATTGTTTCATAAAGTAATTAACTCTCAAAACACAAAATTTGAAAATATTATAGCTCTTGCATATATTTGTCAACATATATGTTTTGCGTACATAAAATTAGGTCAGACAGAAAAGCTATCTGTTGCTAAAGACTCCATTCTGTGTAGTTTACATTTGATAAAGGATAAGCAGCTGGATCCCAAAATTATTTTGCTGACTTTAAAAGCAAATAGCCATTTAGGCCATGTTTATTATAAGCAACAGAAGCTGGGGAAAGCTATAGAAGCACTTGATAAAGCTGTAGATTTATATTTTATATATATGGAAGAACATAGCGAGTACGATATTCCCATCGATTATCAAGATATTATTATTAAATCTGTACAAATAAAAAATGGCTATTCGAAACTAAAATCTATATATAAACACATATTACGAACATTAACAGATGTGCATACACAGATGGGATCAAAAACTAATGAAAGTTTTATACTATCCCGCCATTTACTTTTAATGGAAGAATTGAATTCTTTACAAACATTTAAGGAACATATACAATGGATTGAAAAAGCAATGACAGTATGCAATTATTTAATCATGTGTAACCGTTTTGGAGAAGCTGAAAGTTACATTGATAGAACATTTGTTGTACAAAAAAAGATAGATATAAAATTTAATGATATTACGGGAAAGGAAACTCTTTTGAAAGAACTCAGGTTATACGAACAGTGCTTCGGTACGTACAAGTTAATTACTTTATGCCATGCGAAGTTGGCTGTTGCGCTTTTCCGTTATTCGGTGGAACGACTGCTACGGTTAGAAAAAAACGAAGATTCTAAGGCTAACAACTCAACAACTAAATATCCATCAAAATCGAAGGAGCAACCATCACGGAGATTATTAATATTCACTCAAAATGAGAAAGCGTATTTCGACAAAAATACGCACCGTAATATGTATCCGTCTATGTACATATTGAATCATAACAAAGTTCAGAAATATTTTATCACTATTCTGAACGTGATTTACAAATCAAAGCTATTTTTCATACCCTCCGATATAAACACCTATATTCCATTTACGTTATGCATTTCTAACATATACAAATATATAGCATTTTATGAAAAAGACACTGCCAGTCGGTTTCTATTACAAAAACGGCGCGCAGAAATTTTAGAAAGAGCTGTAAACATTTTAGGAGATAAGAATGGTTGCAAATTATTAAGACTCTTATGGCTTCAACTGACAATTGCTTATTCTACCTTGATAGACATGAAAGTAGAAGAAGCAGTTCCCATACCATATTTGTCTGAAAGACATGATACGTTAGTTGATGAAATTAACGTTTTAGTAGAAAATGGCTTAATATTCCTACGAAAGCATATGTATTATAAATAAATAGTCACAACGGGGTGATGTCGGATGTCTCATTTGGCACAAATTGACAGTAATGTTATAACGAATTACCGCCGCATGTTTGCGAAAAGTGACTCATACTCATGATAGTTTAATATAATCAAGATCTAACTAAAGTTCGGAAAAGATGTGTTCAAACCGCTATGCAAACGAGAGCACATTAAAGTTTATACAATTATCGTTGAAATTGACGAATTGTTAGAGGTGGTCTGCATAAATTCAATGTTGTAAATGGAATTTTATTAGACAATTACGATAGATAATGAATTTGACAATAGATCAAATTCTTCCGAACAGTTTCGATTTATTTCGTTCTACTCATTCTTTTAACTAATAACAAACTTGTCAAAGTGCGCACTTCAACAACTTTGCATCATTTTGCGTCGTTTGTAAGAGAAAAGGAGATTTTGTGCGTTTATAGACAAAGAAAAGTGTAAATAACGTTAAAGATTTAACGTTAAAGAAATAACGTTAAAGGCGCAAATGAAATAAAATATATAATAGATTAGAACATTTTACTGACATATTTTCGTTAAATGTTTACCTTTACACAGCCAGCTCCAAATAATTCCCGAGTAACCTTGATATTGATCTTGACCCTCAAGGAGGTCAATGCTATTGACCTTTATCGGCGCTCATTGTTTGTTAAAAATTGATTAACAAAAAAATTTGCATAAAATTAATATAATTTTTAGATACTATATATACAAAAACATGGAATTTGTAGGCTAGAATAGTGCCAGCCGTACCTACACACACACACACACACACGCACACACACACACACACTGGTTGTCGGCACGTGCGTCGCCCGCCTGTCCGGGCGGGCTCGCGGTGTACATGTGTCCCTATTATATATGAAGTTTTATAAATACACACTTTTTCCCACACTTTTGTGAGAAATTCTCACTCTTTAGCTTAAGTACAACAGACGTGATTTCTTTCCCCGCCACGGTGCGGGAGGTAACCCACCAGTTACACGGCTAGAGACAGGTATCTTTTTTGTTAATAAACTCGAAAACTATAAGCGACTGCCATATAAGCGTGTTTATAACATTAAGAAAAAGAGTGTATTTTTATAAAACTTTAAATATAATACGAGTATACGCACATACCGCGAGCCCGTCCGGGCGGGCGGGTGAGCGCGCGGGGAGCGAACAGTGTGTGTGTATATGTGTTACTTTTTATTAATACTCGCGCTTATTCGTGTGTTTACCATATTTCCATATACACTGTGTGCAAAAATTACGTTCAACTTCTAAAACTTTTTTTGTTAATAACTTTTTAACAAACTTTTTAACTTTTTAACAAACAATGAGCGCTGATAAAAGTCAATAGCATTGACCTCCTTGAGGATCAAGGTCAACATTAGATTTACTCAGATCATTTAAAGCTGGCTGTGTAAAAGTAAATGTTTTCCATATTTTCTTGTATCTTCTTCTCTAATTTTTCTTTCTAATTTTTGCCTGCTGTGATCTACTTTTCTTTTCTTTCTCTATCATTCCTCCTTCTTCACCGCATTCAGTATTCACTCCTTTGACTTATGATTGAAATTTGACTTCAATTTATTTTCGTTTCAGTTGCCGATAACAATAATGTACAATTGTTCATTCTAATAATTTTATTTCTTCGTTTTAACTTGCTATAATAATCATTTTTCGTTAACATTCGCAATTTGTTTATTTTCTTTGCATTTGAATCAATTTAAATTCAATGGTATGTTAGGCAAACTTCTGTTTTCAAATATTCAAACAAATATTAATCGTATCTTCCGCGTATCTTCAGATATAAATGTAAACGACGGTTATAAGTAGGCTGCTGTGAAAACGTGGAATACGATTGAATATAAAATGGATTATTGCCCGAAAATATTCTTAAAAATATTCTTAAAAATCTCTCGCTCACCACTAACATAAGTAGCTAATTGAATAAAGTTACCACGTATAACAGCAATTTCGAGATATTAGTGTTTATATATATTATGGAACCCGGACAGACCAAACGCATTTAAGAAAAACAACAACAATAATTGCAGAACTTCACAAACACAATAAATTTTTATTAAAATCTATTGTCAACATTATGCTCGAAAAAGATGTCTACCAGAAGCACAGGAAAAACGAAATGCGAGTTTGGTAATAAAGAAATATATTATGTTGAATATACATATGTATGAATATATATGTTACATGTTGTCAACAATGATGCAACATATTCAGAACATATATGTTGCATGTTGTCAACAATAATACAACATATTCAGAATAATCTTTTAATATTGATTTATTTAATTACAAATATAGAGTTGATCGAGAATTTCAGGAGTCTCGAAATTATATTAAAACTCAGTAAACAATTCCTCAAAATTTACGGATTGTGATTTAAATTTTGTATAAATCGAAGAGAATTTAACAACACGCAAATCAGAACAATAGAAACTAGGTTGAGTAGAATAATAAACTCTGTTTCATAGAATAATAAACTTGAGAAACTTCTAGTTCTTACAGAAAAATAACACATTGATTGGCTACTGCGTCGCTTGTTCGTGAGCTTCCGCGTACTGCATGTAAAGCTTATATTAAACTAGAGAATTTAGATTGAGAATTGCGGATTAAAGATTAGATTTTGACGAATCAGCAACTTCTTGGCTCACATTGTTCAAATTGGTCAAGTTCCAATCTTCAATCCGCAATCCTCTGTCTCCAATCTATATTATGCTACAGGCATAACAACCATAATCTAACTGTATCATTGATGAAACATTCTGTATTGAACACATTTACACCGAGTCCTCTGTGTCCCTTGTTTTAAAACACTCAATTATATAGAGATATCGGTTGTGTTTGCAGGAAAAATTCTTCGCCAGAGAAAGTCGCTTTGTAACTTGTAAAATTCATGAATTCGATACCATACTTTTGATCATGGCTGTATCTAATAACATATAACAATCAGATTTACGAATATCATAACAGTTGCTAAGCTGCTTTGCTGTTGTCCAATTCGTAAATCTAATTGACATAAACTGTCAGATTCAACTAAGATTAGAGGCATATAGCAATCATACTGACGAATTTTATAACAGTTACAAAGTAGCTTTCTCTGCTGAATATAGCTATTGTTGTTTGGTGCGAAATTGACTATCTATGTCCAAGAAGAAGAACTAGGAGAAGAACAATAATTTCAAAACTTGACAACAAGAAAACAAGAGATTCTTCTTATCATATAATTTGTTATCAACATATTCTTCGAAAGAAAATGTCCACCAAAATAGACGAATCAAATTGCGAGTCAGGTAATAAAAAAATGATATATTCAAAAGTCATGCAACACGTGCGAAATAATATTTTAATTTCAATAGATTCGTTAACATTATTTGCAGCAACGGGAGTGGTTGAAAGTTCCTGTAATTTTGAAGATACGATAAAACCTAGTGACGAATTTTTGCAAGCTTTCAAATTAACATACCCATTTTCTAAAAATTCAAATAAATATAACAAAAAATATATCAGGACAATAGAAGTAAAAATAGACAAATTGTTTCATAAAGTAATCAAATCGCAACACACAAAATTTGAAGATATTATAACTCTTGCATATATTTGCGAACATATATGTTTTGCATACATAAAGTTAAATCGGATAGAAATGATACCTGCTGCTAGTAATTCTATTCTGCGTTGTTTATATTTGATAAAAAATAAAGAGCTGGATCCCAAAATTATTTTGCTGACTTTAAAAGCATATAGCCATTTAATCTATATTTATCGTCAACAAAAGAAGCTGAAGAGTGCTATAGAAATAATTGATAAAGCTATAGATTTATATTTGACATATATGGAAGAAAATAGCAAGTACGGTATTCCTATCGATTATGAAGATATTATTATTAAGCCATCTGTACAAATAAATGGTTATATAAAATTAAAACCTTTATATACATTCATTTTAGAAATATCAATATATATACATTCAAAGATGAGATCAAAAGCTAATGAAACTTTTATGCTATCTTATCATTTGCTTTTAATCGATAATTTTAATTATTTTCAAGGAACTGAGGAATATGTAGAATGGATTGAAAAAGCAACGATAGTATGCAATTATTTAATCACGTGTAACCGTTTCGCAGAAGCTAGAAGTTATATTAATCAAATATGTAATGTACAAAATGTCGTACATGAAAAATATTTTGATATTAAGACAAAGGGATCTCTCTCGGAAATATCCATAATCCTTAATCAAAGCTTAGTCACGTCCAAATTAATTATTTTATGCTGTATAAGGTACGGTGTTGCGCTCTTCTATCAGTCAGTGGAACGACTGCTACGATTAGAAAAGGACGAAGTTTCTGAGGCTAACAACTCAATAACTGACTATTCAAAATTGGAGGGGCGGGCACCGCGAAGATTACTAATATTCGCTCTAAATAAGGAAGCATATTACGACACCAATACATATCATTCGATGCCGTTTACGTACATATTGAAATATAATGAAGCTCAGAAACAGTTTGTCAAAATTCTGAACGTGATTTACAGATCAGGGCGAGATGCTGACTTCGTCGAGGATATAAATTTATATATTCGATTTAAATTATACATTTCTAATGCTTACAAATATATGGCATTCTACGAAAAAGAAACAGCCAATCAGTTTTCTTTACGAAAACGGCGTGTAGAAATTTTAGAAATAGCTGCAAATGCTTTAGAAGATAAGAGTAATTGTAAATTAATGAGACTCTTACTGCTTCAACTGACAATTGCTTATTCTATCTTGATAGACATGAAACTAGAAGACATAGAGGCAATTAACCTACCATATTTGTCCCAAAAACAATCTGTACTTACTGATGAAATTAACATTCTAGTAGCGAAGAGCTTAATATTCCTACGAAAGTATACATACTCTAAATAGACCGTCGTCACGACGGTGATGTCGATGTCTCATTCGGCACATAATGACAGTAATGTTATAAGGAATTACCGCGCAAACTTGTGAACAGTGACTCGCACTCATGACAATTTAATATCATCGAAAACTAACTTCGGAATAGATATGTTCAAACCACTATGCAAACGAGTGCACATTAAAGTTTATTCACTCGATGAAAAATTAGTCATACATAATTATGTAAAATTATATAAAGTTCTATATAATTTTACATTATTATATATAATTATGTATGAAATTTGTCCATACATAATATACATGTTACTTATATATAATCATATATAATTATATATATATATAATTTTATATATAATTTTACATAATTACCTATACAATTATCGTATCGATATGTAATTGTATATATAATTATACGTATATATAATTTTAATATTTAATTATATATTATTATATATAATTTAATATGATTATATATAATTCTACATAATTATGTATAAGTAGACAAATTTTATATATAATTATAAATGAGAAATTTTTCATCGGGCAATTATCATTGAAATTGTTGAATTATTAGAAGTGGTTTTAATAAATTTAATTTTGTACATAGAATCTTATTAGATAATTACGATAGATAATAAATATTACTACAGGCCAAATTCTTTCGAACAATTTCGATTTATTTCGGTCTATTCACTTTTTAACAAATAACAAAAAGTAAAAGTGCGCACATGGACAACTTTATATTATTCTACGTTGTTTGTAAGAGAAAAGGAGATTTTGTGGTTATGTGAACAATGAAAAGTGTAAGAAACTTTAAAGATTTAGGCGCAAATAAAATAAAATATATATTGGATCAGAGTATTTTACTGACTTATTTTCTTATATCTTCTTCTCTTATTTTTCCTTCTAATTTTTGTCTGCTTTGTTCCACTTTTCTTCTCTTTTTCTGTCATTTCTACTTCTTCACCGCATACAGTATTCACTCCTTTGACTTATCATTGAAAATTGACTGAAATTTATTTTTATTTCAATTACCGATAATAATAATGTATAATTGTTCATTCTAGTAATTTTATTTCTTTGTTTTAACTAGTTAGAATGATAATTTCTCATTAATGTTTGCAATTTGCTTATTTTCCTTGCATTTGAATCAAATTAAATTCAATGGTATGTTAGGCAACCTTCTATTTTCAAATATGCAAACAAATATTAATTGTATTTTGCGTAAATATTAATTATATCTTTAAATGTAAACGTAAACGATAGTTATAAGTAGACTGATACTGAATATAAAATGGATTATTGCCCGAGGATATTCTTGAAAATTTCTCACTTACCAATAAATAACTAATAAGTAACGCTTACCGTAAGTAACTAATTGAATAAAGTTACCACGTATAACAGCAATTTCGAGATACTAGGGTTTATTATGGAACTCGGACAGGCCATAAACACATCTAAGAAGAGTAACAACAATAATAATTGCAGAATTTCACAAACACAATCAATTCTTATTAAAATCTATTGTCAACATTATGCTTGAAAAAGATGTGTACCAGAAGCACAGGTAAAACGAAATGTGAGGCAGATAATAAAACAATATATTGATATTGATTGATTATATTATGTTGAATATTGTTGTTATAATATATTAGGTATACAAATAAGTTCGGTGCCTTTACTTTTAACATCTTGTAACTCTGGTTCAAATTAAAAGTTTTTCCTGGCCTGTGGTGATTTGAAAGTGCCAACCTCAAGCTTTAATAAACACTACAGTAGTTGACGACCTTGCCGACCTAACCTAAGGAAACAGAAGTTATCATGATGTCTTCCGAAAAGTAGCATCTGAGGCATTGCATCCTTTTTGCGTTCCAGTTGAATAAAAATGCTGCTCAGGCTACCGAAATGATTTGTTCCGCTTTGGATGAAAGTGCTGTAACCTATAAAACTTGTAAAAAATAATATCAGAAGTTTCGGAGTAGCGATTTCGATCTCAATGAGCGAGAACGCAGTGGTATGCCAAAAAAAGTTGAAGACGAGGAATTGGAGCAGCTATTGAAGAAAGATCTTTGTCAAACGCAATAGGAACTTGCACAACAACTTGGTGTAACTCAACAAGCTATTTCCGTTCGTTTAAAGAAGTTTGAAATAATTTCAAAGACAGGCCGTTGGATTCCTTATGCGCTCAGCCCCGAATACGAAACGAGACGTTGTGGCCCGGCCCTATCCTTGCTGTTACTATTTAAAAGAAAGGACTTTCTGCATAAAATTATAACTGGGGGTGAAAAGTAGGTTTTGTATGACAATCCCAAAAGACGAAGGTTGTGGGCGAACCGTTTACATCTACTGCTAAACCGAATATTTACGAAAAAGATGTTGCTGTCTATTTGATCGGATTTGAAAGACATTATTTATTATGAATTGCTCAAACTCGGTGAAACCGTAACTTTTGAGCGTTACCAGCAGCAAATGATGAAACTGAGTGACGTACTTGAGCAAAAAAGATCTTTTACCGGCAGTAGAACTAGACACGTGATTCTGATAACGCACGGCCACATACGGCGAAAGCAACCCTACAAATCATCTCTAACTTAGACTGGGAAATTCTTTCTCATGCGGCTTATTCCCCAGATCTTGCTCTTTCTCATTATCATCTGTTCCGGTCATTGCAGCCGAATCACTTAATTGATTCCCACTTCAAGTCTCCCGAGGAGAACGAAAAAAGCATTAATGACTTTATCGATTCAAAACCGCCATTTTTTTCGATAGGGGATTCCCCAATTGCCTGAAAAATGGCAGAAATGTATTGAAAATAATGGGGAATATTTCGAAAATTAACATGTTAATTAAATTTGTTAAATTTCGTATGTGTATAAAGAAACATCGAAATAATGTAAAAAAAGGGCACCGAACTTATTTGTACCTAATATTGTACCTAATATTATGTTGAACGTATATATGTTCAACAAGGATGCAACACATATAGAATAATCTTCTAATATTGATTTGTTTAGTTACGAATACAGAGTTGACCGAGAACTTTAGAAGTCTTGAAATCATGTTAAAACCCAGTAAACAATTTCTACAAATTTACGGATTGTGATTTAAATTTTGTAGAAATCGAAGAGAATTTAACAACACCCAAATCAAAACAATAGAAATTAGGATTAGTAATGTGTTTCATAAAATAATCAACTCAAGAAACTTCTAGTTCTTATAGACAAATGGTTGATTGGCTACAGCGTCGCTTCATCGAGAGATTCTGCGTACTGCGTGTAAAGCTTATATTAGACTAAGGATTGGAAATTGAGGATTGCGGATTGAAGATTAGATTTTGACGAATCAGCAATTTTATTCTTGGCTTAATTTGTTTTATTTAGTCAAGTTCCAACCTTCAAGCCCCAATCCTCAGTCATTAATGTATAATATGATACAAACATAAGAGCCATAACACTGTATTATTGATGAATCATTCTGTGTTGAACACATTTACACCAATGTCCTCTGTGTCCCTTTGGAAAACACTCAATTATATCGAGATATCGGTTGTGTTCAGAGAAAAGATTCTTCCCCAGAGAAAGTTACTTTGAAACTTGTAAAATTCATGAATTTAACACTCTTGCTCTTGATCATGGCATGTATTTAAGAGCATATACCAATTAGATTTACGAATATTACAGATGCCAAGCTGCTTTGCTGTTGTAAAATACATAAATCTGATTGGCATATACTGTTAGATCCAACTAAAATTAAAAGCATATAACAATCATATTGTCGAATTTTATAACAGTTACAAAGTAGCTTTCTCTGCTTAATACAGCCATTATCGTTTGGTGCGAAACTAACTGTATCCATGTCTAAGAAGAAGAAAAATTAAAAGAAGAACAATAATTTCAAAATTTGACAACAGAGAAACAGGAGATTCTTTTTATTATAATTCTGTATCAACATATCCTCGAAAGATGTCCACCAAAACGTATTCCTCGAAAATGTCCACCAAAACTACAAAGGAATCAAAACGTAAGTCAGGTAATAAAAAAATGATATATTCAAAAGTCGTGCAACACGTGCGGAATAATCTTTTAATTTCAATTAATTCGTTTAGCATTAGTTTCGACAACGATGGTGGTTGAAAGCTCCTCCACTTTTAAAGATACGATCAAACCTAGCAACGAATTTATGCAAGTTTTCAAATTAACATACATATTTTCTAAAGTTCAAAGTAAATTTAACAAAAAACAAATCAGGACAATCGAAATAAAAATGGACAAATTGTTTCATAAAGTAATCAACTCGCAAGATACAAAATTTGAAGATATTATAACTCTTGCATATATTTGCGAACATATGTGTTTTACATACATGAAGTCAGATCAGACAGAAAAGCTATCTGCTGCTAAAGACTACATTCTGCGTTGTTTACATTTGATAAAAGACAAAGAGCTGCATCCCAAAATTATTTTGCTGACTTTAAGAGCGTATAGTCAGTTAAGCGTTATTTATCATAAACAACGGAAGCTGGAGAGTGCTATAGAAACACTTGATAAAGCTGTAGATTTATATTTGATATATATAGAAAAACATAGCGAGTACGATATTCCCATCGATTACGAAGATATTATTATTAAACCATCTGAACAAATAAATGGTTATTCGAAATTAAAAGCTTTATATATATTTATTTTAGAAATATCAACAGATATACATTCAAACATGAAATCAAAAGTTAGTGAAAGTTTTATGCTATCTCGTCATTTGCTTTTAGTCGATAATTTGGATTGTTTACAAACATCTGAGGAATGTGTACAATGGACTGAAAAAGCAACGATAGTATGCAATTATTTAGTCATTAGCAACCGATTCGCAGAAGCCAAAAATTACATTAAGCAAACATGTCTTGTACAAAGAGCCATAGTTGCAAAATACGCTGAAAATATCGGAAAGGCATCTCTTTCGGAAATATCCATGTTACTTCAACAAATCATAACCACGTCCAAATTAATTATTTTATGCCAGATGAGGTACGGTGCTGCGCTCTTATGTCAGTCGATGAAACGACTGCTACGGTTAGAAAAAAACGTAGATTCTAAAACTAACAACTCAATAAATAAAGAGCTATCAAACTCGGAGGGACGGCCATTGCGGAGATTACTATTATTCTATCCAAATGCGGAAAAGTATTACCCCAATATGTACAATGTGATCCCGTTTACTTACATATTGAAATATAACGAAGCTCAGAAAGAGTTTTCCTATATTCTGAACATGATGTATATATTAAAGTTACATCTTGACTTTGTCGAAGATGTAAACTTTTATATTCGATGTAGATTATACACATCTAACATGTACAAATATATGGTATTTTATGAAAAAGATACAGCCAGTCAGTTTTTACTACAAAAAAGGTGCGCAGAAATTTTAGAAGAAGCTGCAAATTTTTTAGGAGATAGGAATAATTCTAAATTACTGAGACACTTATGGCTTCAACTGACAATTGCTTATTCTACCCTGATAGACATGAAACTAGAAGATATAGAGGAAGCTAACCTACCATATTTGTCCCAAAAACATATTGCACTTGTTGATGAAATTAACGTTCTAGTAGCAAAGAGCTTAATATTCCTACGAAAGTATATGTACTCTAAATAGATTGTCACGACGGTGATGTCGGATGTCTTATTCGAAACGAAATGACAGTAATGTTATAATGAATAACGAGTATATATTAAAGTTTATGCAGCCGATAAAAAATAAATTTTTTACATATAATTATGTACAATTATATAAAATTATTTATATGTAATCATATATATAATTATGCATAATTGTATATATTTATATATAACTATGTACAATTTAATATGATTATATATAATTGTACACAATTATATATGGACGAATTTTGTATATAATAATAGATGGAAAATTTGTATCGGGCAATTACTGTTGAAATTATTAGAGGTATATTAGAGGTGATCTTAAAAAATTTAATTTTGTATTGAGAACAAACCAAATTCCTTCGAATAATTATCGATTTATTTTGGTCTACTCATTCTTTAATTAATCACAAACCTGTAAAAGTGCGCACTTCGACAAACTTTGCATCATTTTGCGTAATTTATAAGAGAACAGGAGATTTTATGCGTATACGGACAATGAAAAGTGTAAAAAATCTTAAAGATTTAGGCGCAAATAAAATAAAATATACAATGCATCAAAGTATTTTACTAATATAGTATCTTATATCTTCTTCTCTAAGTTCTCCTAATTCTTGTCTGTCTTGTTCTACTTTTCTTCTTTTCTCTATCATCCCTCCATTTTTACAGTGTCTTCACACACACTCCCTTGACTTATAATTGAAATTTGACTTTAATTTATTTTCGTTTCAATTACCGATAACAATAATGTACAATTGTTTATTCTAATCATTTTATCTCTTTGTTTTAACTAGCTAAGATTATAATTTCTCATTAAGGTTTGCGATTTGCTTATTTCCCTTGCATTTGAAACAATTTAAATTCAATGATATGTTAGGCAACCTTCTATTTTCAAATATCCAAACAAATATTAATTGTATCTTCCGCTAATATTAATTACATCTTTAAACGTAAGCGACAGTTATAAGTAGACTGATACTGAATATAAAATGAATTATTGACCGAGGATATTTTTGAAAATCTCTTGCTTACTAATAACGTAACTAGTTAATTGGATATAGTTACTATATATAACAGCAATTTCGAGATACTAGCGTTTATTATGGAGCCTGAAAAGATCATAAACACATATAAGAAGAAATGCACCAACAATAATTGCAGAACGTCACAAACACAATAAATTCTTATTAAAATCTATTGTCAACATTATATTTGAAAAAGATGTCTACTAGAAACACAGGCAAAACGAAATGCGAGTCAGGTAATAAAAGAATATATTATGTTGAATGTTGTTATAAAATATTATGTTGAACATAAATATTTATGAACATATGTTCAACAATGATGCAACACATACAGAATAATCTTCTAATATTGATTTGTTTAGTTACGAATACAGAGCTGATCGAGAGCTTTAGGAGACTCGAAATATATCAAAACGCAGTAAACAATTCCTTCAAATTAAAAAATTGTGACTTAAATTTTGTAGAAATCAAAGAGAATTTAGCAACACGCAAATCAAAACAATAGAAACTACGATGAACAATCTATTTCATAAAATATTCAACTCGAGAAACTTCTAGTTTTTATAGAAAAGTGGTACGTTGATTGGCTACTGTGTCGCTTCATCGAGAGTTGCTGCGTACTGCGTGTAAAGCTTATATTAGACTAGGGCTTGGAGATTGAGGATTGCAGATTAAAAATTAAATTTTGACGAATCAGCAATTTCGATTTTAGCTTACTTTGTTCTGTTTGGTCAAGTTCCAATCTTCAATCCACAATCCTCAGTTTCCAATCTGTAATATGATACTGACATAAGAGCCATAACATTGTATCATTGATGAAACATTCTGTGTTGAAACACATTTACACCGAGTCCTCTGTGTTCCTTGTAAGAAAACATTCAATTATATCGAAATATCGGTTGTATTCAGAGGAAAGATTCTTCGCCAGAGGAAGTTGCTTTGTAACTTGTAAAATTCATGAACATAATATTATGCTCTTGGTCATGACTGTTTCTAAGAGCATGTACCAATCATATTCACGAATATTATAACAGATGTCTAAGCTGCTTTGCTGTTGTAGAATTCTGATTGGCATATACTGTGAGATTCAACCAAGTTTAAAGGTATATAGTAATCATACTGACGAATTTTGTAACAGTTATAAAGTAGCTTTCTCTGCTGAATTTAGCCATTGTTATTTGGTGCGAAATTGACTATCTATATCTAAGAAGAAGAACTAAAAGAAGAACAATAATTTCAAAACTTAACAAGAAGGAGACAGGAGACTCTTTTTATTATATAATTTGTTATCAACATATTCTTCGAAAGAAAATGTCCACCAAAACAGACGAATCAAAATGTGAGTTAGGTAATAAAAAAATGATACATTAAAAAATCATACAATATGTGCGGAATAATCTTTTAACTTCAATTGAATCATTTGTTTAGCATTAGTTCCGACACCGGGGGTGGTTGAAAGCTCCTGCAGTTTTGAAGATACGATAAAGCCTAGCGACAAATTTTTGCAAGTTTTCAAATTAATATATCCATTTTCTAAAGGTCAAAGTAAATTTAACAAAAAACAAATCAGGACAGTAGAAGTGAAAATGGACAAATTGTTTCATAAAGTAATTAACTCGCAAGACACAAAATTTGAAGATGTTATAACTCTTGCATATATTTGTCAACTTATATGTTTTGCATATATTAAGTCAGATCAGACACAAAACCAATCTGCTGCTAAAGACTCCATTCTACGCTGTTTACATTTGATAAAAGATAAAGAACTGGATCCCAACATTATTTTACTGGCTTTAAAAGCATATTACAATTTAAGCTATATTTATGAGAAACAACAGAAGCTGGAGAATGCTATAGAAGCACTTGATAGAGCTGTAGATTTATATTTGAAATATATGGAAGAATTTAACGAGTATGATATTCCCATCGATTATGAAGATATTATTATTAAACCATCTGTACAAGTAAATGGTTATTCAAAATTAAAATCTTTATATAGATACATTTTACAAGTATCAACAGATATACATATACAGATGGGATCAAAATCTAATGAAAGTTTTATGCTATCCCGTCATTTGCTTTTAGTCGAAGAATTGAATTGTTTACAAACACCTGTGGAATGTGTAAAATGGATTGTAAAAGCAACAACAGTATGCAATTATTTAATCACGTGTAAACGTTTTCCAGAAGCTAGCACTTACATTAATCAATTAAATGTTGTACGACGAATCTTAAATATAAAATTTAATGATACTAAAGAAAAAAATCCTTCTTCGGAAACACCCAATATATTTATACACAAAGTAGCTATGTTCAAGTTAGTTATATTATACCACATGAAGTACGGTGTTGCGCTCTTCTGTCAGTCGGTGAAATTACTGCTACGATTAGAAAAGAACAAAGTTTCTAAGACTTACAACTCAATAACTAAGTATCTATCAGAATTGGAAGCTCAGACATCGCGAAGATTACTAATGTTTGTTCCAAACAAGAAAGCATATTACGGCATTAATACGCACCATTTTATGCATTTTACGTACATATTGAAATATAATGAAGCTCAGAAAAAGTTTTCCAATATTTTGAACATGATTTATGTATCAGAGTTGCATCGTAAGTTTGACGATGTAAACTTTTTTATTCAATGCAAATTATACATTTCTAACTTGTACAAATATATGGCATTCTATGAAAAGCACAAAGCCACTCAGTTTTTACTACGAAAAAAGTGCGCAGAAACTTTAGAAGAAGCTGCAAATTTTTTAGGAGATAGGAATAATTCTAAATTACTGAGACTCTTATGGCTTCAACTGACAATTGCTTATTCTACTCTGATAGACATGAAACTAGAAGATACAGAGGAAGCTAACCTACCATATTTATCCCAAAAACATATTGCACTTGTTGATGAAATTAACTTGCTAGTAGCAAAGAGCTTAATATTCCTACGAAAGTATAAGTACTCTAAATAGATTGTCACGACGGTGATGTCGGATGTCTTATTCGACACAAAATGACAGTAATGTTATAATGAATTACCGCCCAGACTTGGGAATAGTGGCTCGCACTCATGACAATTTAATATCATCGAAAACTTCGAAAAAGATGTGTTCAAACCGCTATGCAAATGAGTATACCTTAAAGTTTATGCATTCGATAAAAAATTTTTTACACTTAATTATATAAAATTATATAAAATTATTTATATGTAATCATATATATAATTATGCATAATTGTGTTTAAATATATATAGTTATGTATAGTTTAATATGTTTATATATAATTGTACATAATTATGTATGGCTAAATTTTGTATATAACTATGGATGGAAAATTTTTCATCGGACAATTACCGTTGAAATTGCCGTATTACTAGCGGTGGTCTTAATAAATTTAATTTTGTATACGGAATCTTATTTAATAATTTGATATAGATAATGAATTTGACAATAGACCAAATTCCTTTGAACAATTTCGATGTATTTCAGTCTACTTATTTTTTAATTAATAACAAATCTATAAAAGTGTGCACATTGACAAACTTTGCATCATTTTGCGTAATTTATAAGAGAACAGGAATTTTTATGCGCATACGGACAATGAAAAGTGTAAAAAACGTTAAAGATTTAGGCGCAAATAAAATAAAATATACAATGCATCAGAGCATTTTACTAACATATAACATACATATAATATACATTATATTATTTTATATCTTCTTCTCTAAGTTCTCCTAATTATGGTCTGCCTTGTTCTACTCTTTTTCTCTTTCTCTATCATTTCTCCTTTTTTACCGTTCGCGCACACTCCCTTGACTTATAACTGAAATTTTACTTCAATTTGTTTTCGTTTTAATTCACGATAGCAATAATGTACAATTGTTCATTCTAGTCATTTTATCTCTTTGTTTTAACTAGCTAAGAGGATAATTTCTCATTAAGGTTTGTGATTTGCTTATTTCTCTTGCATTTAAAACAATTTAAATTCTGTGGTATATTAGGCAACCTTCTATTTCCAAATATCCAAACAAATATTAATTGTATCTTTCGCTAATATTAATTACATCTTTAAACGTAAGCGACAGTTATAAGTAGACTGATACTAAATATAAAATGAATTATTGACCGAGGATATTTTTTAAAATCTCTCGTTTTCTAATAACGTAAATAGCTAATTGAATATAGTTACTATATATAACAGCAATTTCGAGATATTAGCGTGTATTATGGAACCCGAACAGGCCATAAACACATATAAGAAGAAAGTTCCAACAATAATTGCAGAACTTCACAAACACATTAAGTTCTTTTTAAAATCTATTGTCAACATTATACTTGAAAAAGATGTCTACCAGAAGCACAGGCAAAACGAGATGCGAGACAGGTAATAAGAAAATATATTATGTTCAATGTTGTTTTCATAATATATTATGTTGAACATAAATTTTTATAAACATATTTTCAACAATGATGCAACACATACAGAATAATTTTCTAATATTGATTTGTTTAGTTACAAATACAGAGCTAATCGAGAGCTTTAGGAGACTCGAAATCATACTAAAACCCAGTAAACAATTCCTTCAAATTTACGGATTATGATTTAAATTTTGTAGAAATCGAAGAGAATTTAGCAATACGCAAATCAGAACAATAGAAACTAGGATGGACAATCTATTTAATAAAATAATCAACTCGAGAAACTTCTAGAACTTTTATAGAACTTTTATAGAAACTTTTATAGAAAAATGATACGTTGATTGGCTGCTGCGAACTATACGTAAAACTTATATTAGACTAGGGATTAGAGATTGAAGATTGCGGATTGAAAATTAAATTTCGACGAATCAGCAACTTCGGTTTTGGTTTACTTTGTTCTGTTTGGTCAAGTGCCAATCTTCAATCCACCATCAGTTTTCAATCTGTAATATGATACTGACATAAAAGCCATAACATTGTATCATTGATGAACCTTTCTGTGTTGAAACTCATTTACACCGAGTACTCTGTGTCCCTCGTTAGAAAACACTCAATTATATCGAGATATCGGTTGTGTCCAGAGGAAAGATTCTCCGCCAGAGAAAGTTGCTTTGTAACTTGTAAAATTCATGAACATAATATTATACTCTTGGTCATGACTGTTTCTAAGAGCATGTACCAATCATATTCACGAATATTATAACAGATGTCCAAGCTGCTTTGCTGTTGTAAAATTCTGATTGGCATATACAATTAGATTTAACCAAGTTTAAAGGTATATAGTAATCATACTGACGAATTTTGTAACAGTTACAAAGTAGCTTTCTCTACTGAATGTAACCATTGTTGTTTGATGTGAAATTGATTATCTATGTCTAAGAAGAAGAACTAAAAGAAGAACAATAATTTCAAATCTTAACAACAAAGAGACAGGAGACTCTTCTTATTATATAATTCGTTATCAACATATTCCTCGAAAGAAAATGTCCACTAAAACAGGCGAATCAAAATGCAAGTCAGGTAACAAAAAAATTATACATTAAAAAATCATACAACATGTGCAGGATAATCTTTTAATTTCAATTGATTCGTTTAGCATTATTTTCAGCAACGGATGTGGTTGAAAGCTCCTGCAGTTTTGAAGATACGATAAAACCTAGCGACGAATTCTTGCAAATTTTCAAATTAACATACACATTTTCTAAAGATCAAAGTAAATTTAACAAAAAACAAATCAGGACAATAGAAGTAAAAATAGACAAATTGTTTCATAAAGTAATTAACTCGCAAGACACAAAATTTGAAGATGTTATAACTCTTGCATATATTTGTCAACATATATGTTTTGCATACGTGAAGTCAGATTAGACAGAAAAGCTATTTGCTGCTAAAGACTCCATTCTGCGCTGTTTACATTTGATAAAAAATAAAGAACTGAAGCCCAACATTATTTTGCTAACTTTAAAAACATATGGCAATTTAATCCATATTTATCATAAACAACATAAGCTGGAAAATGTTATACAAGTACTTTATAAAGCTATAGATTTATATTTGACATATACAAATAAATTTAGCAAGTACACAATTCCTATCGATTATGAAGATATTATTATTAAACCATCTGTACAAATAAATGGTTATTCAAAATTAAAATCTTTATATAAACACATTTTACAAATATCACCAGATATACATACACAGATGGGATCAAAACCTAATGAAAGTTTTATGCTATCCCGTCATTTGCTTTTAGTCGATGAATTGAATTGTTTACAAACATCTGAGGAATTTGTACAATGGATTAAAAAAGCAACGATAGTGTACAATTATTTAACCACGTATAACCGTTTTGTAGAAGCTAGAAGTTACATAATTCAATTATATGTTGTACAAAGAGTGTTTCAAACAAAATATAATGTTACTAAGGGAAAGGATCTTTCTTCGGAAATATCCAGGGTATTACAATGCGTAGTTGTGTCTAAGTTAGTTATATTACTATGTGAGGTACAGTATTGCGCTCTTCTGTCAGTCGGTGAAACGACTGCTACGATTAGAAAAGAACAAAGTTTCTAAGACTTACAACTCAATAACTGAGTTTCTATCAGAATTGGAAGGGCGGGTAATACGGAGATCATTAATGTTCCCTCTACATAAGAATGCGTATTACACCAAAACATACCATTCGATGCAGTTTACGTACATATTAAAATATAATAATGCTCATAAACAGTTTACCGATATTCTGAAAATGATTTACGATTCAGGGCTACATGCTAACTTCGTCAAGAATGTAAACTTATCTATTCGATATAGATTATACATTTCTAACGCGTACAAATATATGGCATTCTATGAAAAACACAAAGCCACTTAGTTTTTACTACAAAAAAAGCGCGCAGAAACTTTAGAAGAAGCTGCAAATTTTTTAGGAGATAGGAATAATTCTAAATTACTGAGACTCTTATGGCTTCAACTGACAATTGTTTATTCTAC